TCTTTTATTGTCCTTTAAGGTTAATCCCTTCGGTTCCATTCTGGCAGGAAGCCGCTGATCGTTAGTGCGCGAGCGAACTCCTTGCTGATACCGTTTTGTTAAGGTAGACGTCCGGCTGATCGTTTGCACCTCATTTCGTGTCTCTCGAGCTGTCCACCCAAGCGCCGCATTTGGCATTCATGGGGGGGGGGTGACGATTGGTCTTTACAGTCTTCGAGCACCGACGTAACTGATGCACTCATGGTGCGGACCGTGCGGCCGAAGCCCTCGCTTCCAAACTGAAACTTTTGAGCAATGCAACAAAAGCGCGGCACTGAGATTGCGGGTTATCCCTGCCAAAGCGAACCGTCTGGACTGGCCAGTACTGACACAAGCGGACGGACGGCATGAGCTTGCTCCCAGTGCACGATTGTAACCGACAGGAAGGTTGGTTGGTTGCTGATGGATATTCATTGAATCGCATCCACCTTTATGCCGAAGTCCGGCAGAAAGGTGGATAAGTCATCCACCAATCTACCGGAGCTCGTCCACCGATCTTCCGGCTCATCCACCAATCTGCCGAACCAACCCGTCGTTGTCGATTGATCTAATTGACACCATTGAGTTCATTCGGGCCCATTGGCAGAAAGGTGAATGCGGCTGTACTGATCGACCGAAGCGAAGCGAAGGTCCTCTATGTTCAAGACAACAGGAATTTTTGTCGGTCATGTCGGTCACGCAGTAATCTGTCCGTCGGTCACGCTGCTCACGCCCCAAGTTACAGCAGAAACCCTATATTTGTGTGAACCTATACAGGGATGAAAACCGATTCCCGGCGCTGCTGCCGCTGCCCGGCTCGAATGTGAGTACATATGGTTAAATTTATGGCAGTACATATGGTTAAATCTGGCGCGGTACATAATCACACCATGTTGAGCCGCAACGTAAAATTCCAGTCGGTGGCGGCAGCAGGAAGACGGTTTTGCCCCCATATTTTGAAAAGTATGTGTGTCTTTCACTGCTCTGTGATTACTAAAACAAATCAGCATTGTAAAAATTTGGGATTCTCGAATTCTGTAGAAGTAGAAAACCGGTTTTTTTACATTGCAGGCGGCCCAATTCCAGTTCTTGGTGATTTTTTTTATGAAAATCGTTGTGATTTATTGACTTTGCTATTCGATTGTTTTACTGTAGTGATTAATTTAGTGTCTCTTGTGCTTAGAATTGCATGAGCGAAACTTTTGCTACGAGAGCTATTTATTTTGGGCAACTTCGTTTTCATGCAAAAATTTCCTGTCGGAAACTTTCGCATTGTAAGAGGACCCAAATATGAGCAGTACTAAACAATGAGCAAATATACCTGAACACGTAGTACGAGTACATAGTAGGTAGTAGCACTTAGTGTACGCATTAAACAAAAATTTAGGGATATAGCTCAATATCTTTAATTCAGAACATGCTGAATATGCTTAGAATCCTGTACAGAGTACAACGGTCAAATAATGAGTAAATTCTTTACTTAATAATTGTAGCAGCAACGTGTTTATTAGGGCCAGCATTAGGCTACTGATTGTACCTTAAAGTGCATAATTTTTGCTAGGCTTTGCAAGGTGCCAACCTATACTACAACTATATTTTTTTGCAAATTTTCCGAATCACACATTGCCAAAGTTAGCATAATATTTGGATTCACTTTAGTTCAATTTAGGTTGAATGATGAAACTGATAAAACGTAGGTCAGCAATGATAAAAGAGTGTCGGTGGAAAGTTGAAAGGAGAGAATTTTGATGCCAAAAAATCTTGTGAGAAAGAAGAAACGAAACGTTTTGTGTACGAAATTTAGTATCAGGACCGACATACTTCACTCAAATGGGTCAATATGTATATTTACGGGCGGAATAAGATTTATGATTTTAAAAGTACCCATAGTTGTTGTACTCCATAGTTAAGTAATTAATATAAGTATTGTCACAACTGTCGAAGTTAATAATTATAAGATAAAGGCGTCGCATGCTACACTTCTGTACGTCTGTACCATCGCTGACTCTTACCAAATGCCACATTTGCAAGACCAAGTTGACCCCACATAACGATATTAATTTTTAAGGTTTAAATCAAAATAATAAACAAAAGAATGCTGCTGGGATCAAACGGTATTTTGCTTTGACAGTTCCTGAAGGAAATGCTACCGCTGTAATGAGCGAAATAATTAACTGGAGAGAACTGTAATTAAGGAAATGCTACTTAAGCTTACCTTTTTAATTCTAAAATAAATCCCAGTTTTGGATGTGTTGATTTATTATTATCAGTACGTGTCTCTTTGCACTGTTTTACGAGTGTCAGCATGCCTACTTCGAGCCGCTACATTTCGATACAAATCAACCGCCTTTTATTAAATAAACATTTTTAATACATGTGCAACTATTGCGCATGCTATACGAGTACCATATACAGATAATGGAATTAAGAAAACCGTTTTGTTGCTAGTTGCTACTGTATAATTATACAAAGACCGTTTGAAGTTGAACATAGTGGCATGTTTTCCACTGCATCCGTTTTGCGAAGCAGGAAAATTAGTACAGAAGACACTTTCTCGAGATAAGTTCCGCTGTACTGGTATTCCCGGTTTCATCGCTCCGATTCCTGCTCGATGACAGGATGACCGCACGTGACATCGACGTGGGGGTTGCAAATTTTTTTGGCGGAGGCAGCCGGTACGCTTGACTGCAATTAGCACAGCGGTTGGCCATACGTAATAGAAAGCCTGAATCAACTAGTACTGCTACTGCACTAGTCATAAGATGAAAACTAACTGAAAGTGCAGTTATGTCAGTAGTGGAACAGTAAATCTTTTCATGTGAATATTCGATCGAGTTCCAAAATTCGACGAAACTTTTCTTACCAGTGCCACAACTGCCAGTACCAGCAGCATCCAAATATACTTGAGAACCTCCATGCTAGCGAGTTTGCTTTATATTTACGTAGAGTAAGCCGCACAGCTGCTATTCAAATTTATATCTTTTAACAACCGCAAAAAGCTTTGCTTAATGAGAAAAAAGTTGAAATGCCACCTGCTTAAATAGGGTATAGCGCATTCTGCACAGTGTACGCGTACGTTAACCGCTCGCCCACTGCATAAAGGCAAAAAATCATGTGCTTTTTTGTTTTGCGGTATAACGAGGCACATCCGCTTAAAGTGAAATCACCGGTATTCCCCATGTAGTTTTGCCCGAATTGCTTTCTATTAAATTCCGTTTTAATTGCACAACACGAACAAAGGCAATAAGGCCGCTCGATCAGTTTTTTTCTCTGTTAGTTTATTACTCAATTTTTTCTGCAGTATGTTTTTGTCGCGCCGACAAAACACAGCTTGCAGTGATATTGAAGCTCTTTTAGCAAGCTTGAATAACAAAAATATTTATGAAACACCTACAGAAAGAGTATGCTTGCTTTAGCTGCAGCAGCACTGCCGAGGTTTACGACCAGAACTTTCCCAAACTGCAATTTCGCAAAAGTTGCTACATATGATAAGGCGCATGATTTTTGCCGCAAAAATTAACTGCACAAGTTCATAAAGTAGTAACATTAACCGTGCATTGAGTGCGCTTCCGGCAAAAGTCATTAGTCACGACAGATTAATATTGTTTTTTACAAAATAAAATTTCTAGTTCCTTAAAGTTCACGATATTATGACATTGTATCACTCTGTAAGTTAAGTATTTGTTATCTGCAGACTGCAGGTCTTCTACACAGACAAGAAAACCATCTGCATACTACAAAATGATATTCTTAAAAGCTTGTAAAAATAAACTATCAGTTTTTCATTATCTTCACGATCGTCTAACAACTCCCACAATTTGAATACAGCAAGCCGAGCTGTGAATCCTCATGCTTGTGGTATTTGAGCGACAACTCGAGCACCCTGATTGAATTATAGGTTTTAAGTTATCGGTTTTATTGGTTATTGTAACGTGTATGTATAGCAAAATAAAACTTTAACTGGAAGTCTAGAACACAAAATAACAGAGAATGAGATCTGTCAAGTTGTAATAAAGCTCTTAGTTAGGTTCCGGTTTGTTGGAACTGGAATTGGCTCTTTCTCTCAGATGATGTAAATAATGCTAGGAATACTCTATTACTTTTACTCAAAACTTAAACGCCGAGAACGCAGCATGCATACCGACAACGCCCATACATGAAATATGGTTAGCTATAGGACTTCTAGAAAATTGCAGAACATAACTCTGCAACGAAAACTCATTAAGCAGTAACTTTGTTTTCCGCCACATGCCAAAAAAATAATGCACAGAAAATAAATTTATTTATTTATTTATTAATAAGTAGTTTTCTGCTAAAGATTAACGGAAACTCCTTCCAGTTTGCTCGCAACACGTGCATCAGAACGGTATCAGAACAATTTACTGTAAATTTTAGATTTTTTAGATTTTATATTCGCACTTTCAACACTTGCAATGCATAATACATATTATACGTTACAAAGTTTGCTGGTGTACCGTGCACTATTATTGTGAAATAATAGTACAGTTTGCCTGCGCGATTTACTATTCGGCAGTCGGCACACGTACCTTCTTACCGTTGCGGAATACTTACGGGATCAGGAAGTCCTGCAGCGCAGCTTAAGCAATGGATAAACTGGATCGCAGTCTTTTTACAATCGGTGCCTGGAATTTGCTAAGGTGCATATGTATTTATGACCAATTTTTGCTAGCCATTTCCGACTACATAAACCTATTCTGTAGACTATTGCTCCTGCTCTAGGTGGAAGTATTACAAGGTAGACCAAAGTGCTGAAGTATGTACGTTATGGAGTTTACCGATTTTCACGCTTATTCCATCGTGTCTGTGCGATTTGCATGTTGGCACTCGACGTTCTAGTAGGTTCTCGATAAGGCGTGGTGATTGCAGTGTTCATCTTGTCCCTTTTTAATACGGATTTCGATGGGTGGCACCGAAACAAGTCAATGCCGAATATTGGTTAAATATTAGTAAGCACCGTAATCAGTAAGCGGACTGTTTATCACGGACATCCTTTCTTAAGTATCTTTTACTTGAAATGTCACATCCTTCGATGTTGTACGCAAATGATCTGAGCGTTTTGCAACGCTCACAACGGAATTAGTATGTTAAACATATGACATATTTACTGCATTCCACTGCTTACATTAGTACCGTTACGCTACGGTGATCCGGTATTAGAACCGGGTAATGGGATGCCAGTTGTCGAACCGCGCGTCTAAAGGTTACAAATTAAATTGTTGCAGTATGTATTGTAAGCAAAATGTTTGCCAACGCGAGTATTGTTGTACGTCAGCTCCCGCGCACAATCCACGCTCATCATTTGCGGGTCCACACGTCTTAGGGAGAGTGCGTAGGGCGACAAATAATTGCCCACAATAAACACCTCCCCAGCTTCTCTGTAGGCAATGAGGTGTGGCTTCAGCTGCAAGAAATTCCGGAACCAGGCAAACGAGCAGTCACAATGCAAGCGTCGCACTTTCTGGACATCGTTGATGCTGATGAGCTTTGACTCATAGGTGCGATTTGAGGAAACCTCTGCAAGCCATTCCTTTCGGGCCAACTCAGAACTAATCTCCTTCTCCAGCATCAGGCTCTTCAAATGCGGCAAGTCCATAAATGTGTAACGTTCCAGTGTATCAATGATAGACGACATAAAGCAGATCATCCGCACTTCCGGCATGCGTGAAAAATCCTGCTTGTTAACACTCAGATCGGAGCCATACTGCACTTCAAAACGCAATAATTTCGGCAAGATACCGGCTTCGTAAACCTTACGTGTGGTGACAGATGTATTAGACTCAACGCTCAGCTCAATGATTTGTTGCCGAATGGGTTCAGCAACTTCAGAATGTACCGTGTTGCTTTTTTCGACTAAGAGAATGGTGACAGCTCGGTTCGGGCTAATTCTGCTAATGTTTCTCGTTAAATCCCGCATATCGGAACGTTTTTGCCGATAACAGTCGACTTTCAGGTATGTTCTTGACACCGCATGATATCTGTAGTAATAATCTTGTACGGTAATATCGCAGTTCTCGATGTTTAACACTAGTCTGCAGGCATCTTCTTCCCCGATGGTAGCAAAAGCAATGCATTCTTCTTTCGTCAGCAAATCAGTTTGAAAAGGAAAGGAAATCACGGTGCTTGGCAGTTTGCTAATGCTTTCATAGTCGTGAGTGGGATTATTGCAGTCTTTTTCGAGATCAGTACCGAAACCTGTGTAACGGTGTCACCGTGTTACACCTGCATTTATGGAAAACAGAAAATAACATAATAACTGCTCATAATTGTGCATATAAGCTAAACAGATTAGTGCACATTTGCGTTGCTACTTGTATGTATTGGCACTTACTGGTAGCAAGAAGCTACAAAATGATACTTACCTGATACGACGGCTAATACTGACAATAATCCGATTACCAACATTTCGAAAATATTAATAAATTCAGGATCCGAAGACTGATTATGATACGAGTTTATATATCACGTTTCGCCGGTGAACGTACATGTCAATGGTAACGAAGTTTTTAATGGTGTGTACGGCAAGTACCGGTACATAGATTATGTGTTCGCGTTTGCAACGATGTAAAGACAAGATAAATTATAGCAAGTTCCTACAGCATGCTTGCTGGCAGCGTTCCACAACAACTGTGGAAACAATCAGCATGCGCCGTACTTTAACCTTTCGCTTGTCTCAAGACTCGCCCACCATAAAGCACCACCCACATACACCATTTAATCCTACCCGATCCAAGAATCACAACAAGAAAAACGCGTTTTAAAATAATGACAATACATACGTTGATTAATCTACCATATGTGCGGCTGACTTCTTAATTGGTGGCATATTGCTTGGTTTCAACGTTCTTTGGGATTCACGTCGTGTAACGCGCAATTGTTATTTACCGTAGATGCAGCTTCTACTACCGCCCAATTCTATCTACAGTGAACCATAAGGTTGAATGTCATATAATTACACAGTCTCTACTGTTGGGCAATTATTACCACCGCCCCGAGACACTTCGTCCCGAAACTGCATATGCTGCCCAGTGATAAGAGGCAGTACCAGATGTTTTAATTATGTATGATAAAACAGCAGTTGTTGCCTTCGTACTGTATTATTGCGTTGACAACAAGGACCCTGTAAATTATGATGAAAAGAACCTTGTAAAAATTTTCTTTGTGCCGTTTGTTTAAATCTTTAATCAAATTTGCGGTCACTTGCGGGGATGCGCATTTTTACAGACATGGTAAATACCAGTACTTGGTAAGTATAGTAAAACAGCCTAGCACGCGCGAGGGGCTTTGAATGAAATCATCTGACATCAGCAGTTAGTAGGCTTTAAGCTATTTACATTCAATAATGAGCTCCGCAGCATACTCTGGATAACGAAAATGAATTATTTATCTAATCAGCTAATTAAAATTAGTCTGAAGTGACACCAGGCAAACGATATGACCAAGCACATTCAAGCCCCAGCGCAAGTGATAAAATGCAGCCGCTTCGATGGACTCCGTACACCTATGTACTCGTAGCATCTACAAACTGATGTTATAAATTTCAAATCGGTTAATCTGGTTACGGCAAAAATCGAAAGCTACCTTGCCAAACATGACGGACGCGTTATGTTCCCCCGTTCCTGATGACATCGAAAAGGGTTACAAATCTTGGATTGACGAAGTGGAAAAAGTGTGCATGACGGCTGTATTTAAAAAGCAGAGTGATATGATGGCGAGGACCTTTGAATATTTGGTTCGTAGCGCATATGTACTTCCACACTGCTCTGCAACGTACAGGGGCTGACGGCATTTCTAACTGCTTCACAGGCAATTAAATTCAGTGAAATTAGGGGTTAATGGATCGTTTATCTGACGATCTGGATAAGCAGCAGATCAGTCGGGAACAATCCAACTCGCCCGGAAAAACTGAGGAAGAAAATGATGATCCTCCGGAGTATCAGGATGCCATGGATGAAACAAGTACATCACAACGCCAAGCAAGAAAGCCTCCGGGATCTGCGCAGCATCATACGGCGTTATTCAATGCCGAGGAGGCCAACCTAATGGCGGCAGTAAAAACTGCAAAGTAACTTTAGTCGATAGGCATAAAAAAGTGTTAAACAGTATTTTAAGCGCAGTATTTAACCGTGCTGTATAGTTTACACTTACCTACCACGTAGCTATAATGAAGCAGCTCAGCTTTTCAGTTACGATAATGTTGCAAATGTCACTTGCTTTGATCGTGGAACTTGGTCACATCGATTACGCATGTCGTTTCGCAGACAGGAGAAAACTTCAAGCGGAAACAGCCATTTCTATTCTGCAAACCAGGATTCTTATGCCCAGAAACCAGAAGTGTGTATTTACTCGATTAGATTTATTTACTAAAAAAGTTTTGCCCGGCTCTCGTTAAGTTCGGAAACAGCGAAGCTATTCATCATCATATGCTGCATCTGACTTTATTTTTTTATAATCACGATATTCTGTTTGTAGTCGAATAGGGAGGAGTTTGCCGAGACGTTCATTGACATGCATTTAAAGCCTGCCCTCCTTCGAGGCGTTTCGGAATGTGGGTTTTTTAGACCGTATCCTCTTCAGCAGCTAGCAATCTTACCATATCTTAAAGGTACTTTCAAATTTCATTTGAAAAGTTCAGCCACTATGCAGATTTACCGTCAATAATAAAACTGCGTGCTAAGGAAGCGCTTTTGGCTTAAGTTTCGCTAAAAGATTGCGGTGCCCAATATACATACATATTTGCATGGTCGTTTTAATCTAACGACTGATTAAAATGTCTTATTGCAGGTCGCGATGTAGTGGTCCAAGGCCACACGAGAAGCGGGCAGAAGACATCCTTTGTGATTTCTGTTTTACAAAAAATAGACATCGAAAGCGCGGAATGCCAAGCTTTGATTGTGGCACCATATAAAGAGACAGCGGAAGAGGTGTGCTTGTGTATGTTGTGTTTTCTTCCATAAAATACCGCATAGTAGTTTCCAACAAATCTTTTAGATTAAGCAAATCGTCCTGGACCTGGCTAAATTTACGGAAACGAAGTGTCGTCTTTGTGTCGGTGGTACCAATGTTCTGAGTGACATGATGGAGCTCAGCAAAGGCCGACACATTGTTGTTGGAACGCCCGGTCGTATCCAAGACATGATATTACGAAGAGTGTTAAGTAAGCACTACTGCGTCTGAAACAGCCGTAAGTCGTCGCTTCCTCCAATAATTAAGATTGCAGAATATTTCTGTAGAGACGAATGATATCCAAATGGTTGTGATGGATGATGCCGATGCGCTTCTCAGCCGAGGCTTAACGGACCAGCTACGCGATATTTTAACAAGCTTGCCAAAAGGTGTTCAGGTTAGCTTTCGTTGTTGTGTGCATAAGCGCTTTTATCAACCGCTCACGTTTAGGTTTTGTTGGCAACCCGGGCAATATCACCACATATCACGGAAGTGACAAGGCGTTTCATGCGCGATCCCGTGCAGATCGTGATTCAGGCCGATCCACGGGAAAGACCATTAAACGCAGTTCGACAGTTTTTCCTGATAGTGGATAGAAAGGTACCGTCTGCATATACAGAGTACTGCAAATTAAAAAAATCGTCACTGCAGCCCCAACAAATGTCAAACAAAGTGTCTTTCTTATGGCATTCGCAGGACTGGAAACTGCAGACACTGTGCGATCTTCTGGAAAATATCCATGTTCCGCAGACCGTGATTTTCTGTAACACGAGGCGGGAGGTTGATTACCTTGCCCACCAACAGCGGAAACACACGCTTGCCGCCATAGTAAGTGATTTCAGATTCAGCTTGGCATCAAAACCATATAGTTGATACAAACGCTTTCCGTTTGTGTTTGATTAGCATGGAGAAATGCCTGAGAGAGACCGGGTTATAGTTTTTCAAAAGTTTCGCCAGGGTGCGCTTCCCATTGTGGTGACCACGGATCGTTATGCACGTAGCGTATTCGAACGGGAGGTGAATTTGGTCATCAGCTATGATATGCCGAGCAATCGAGATCACTATATCAACCGGTAAGAATAAGCTCAGAATACAACCTCCTTATCTAACGTTATCTCTTGCGTTTCTTTTATGCCCCGATAAACAGGATGGAATTTGGCGGTCGGGAGTGCAGAGAACGGAAGGGTTGTGCTATTACTTTTGTCACAAACAACGATCTCCATTTTTTGAAGGACATAGAGCAGTTCTATGGCACGAAAATAGAAGCAATGCCTGGCAATGTGGCTGAATTATTTGAAAAGAAGTAAAACCAAATAAAAATGACCTTATATACATCTGATCAGCTCTTTGTACGGCCAAGTTTCCATGTGCTCTGACTTGAACACCGCCATAATGTGATCATTAAACAACCTTTTTGTCCAACAGTGACGACTTGCACTTGCTTTTTCCAAACGCCAAACTGTATAACAGTTCTGCATGTTGTTCCCGTTTGTAATTTCTTCATCGTACTGTTACCTTTTCATAAACTTTTGCAGCATATTGACTATGAGCACAGGCGGCACAGCTATCTGTATAGTCCTGCACTTTGTAACACGAAGATTATATCTCGAAAGTTTGCAGACTCATCATGCCAAACGTGACGAGGTTTTAAGCAAACAATAACACTTGTACTTTTCGGTGAATTTATTCCGAGCTAGCGACATATCACGCATCGGTCCCGAGAAATATGCCGAAAAAGTCAAAAACGGCACCGATGATTTAATGTTTCTGTTAGGTTCAATCTAAACTTATGTTTAACGTTGAGTTGTAAACGAGTATTTAATGTTACCGCATTCCGGACTCCACTGAGGGCGCTGGAGCCCCGGCTGCTGGGAGGCTGGTGCTCTCGGTGATCGGCTGTGTGCGGTGACCGTGGGTCAGCGAAAAGCCGGCCGACCGGGGTCGGCGGAAGAGAGCGACCAGTGCCCTGCGCAACCGAAGGCCCCTTTATTGAGCAAGTGCGAAATAACAGCTGAAGAAGACAGTAGGGTGTGGCGGGTGGTTAAAGAACAGAGATCACTCGCGCGCACACGACTCGAAGGAGCAGTGACAAACAGCAATGTAGAAATGCAAAACCAGTGCGAGCGCACGAACAGTGCCAAGCGCAAACAGCATGCCCGTGCAAGACGGCGGCCGCTTTGATCTAAGCGCCACGGCGACGCGCAGCGCCACCCACGGACTCACGTAACTTGCTACACGTGGGGAAAGGAGAAAGAGCGGGGGCGCATGTCCTCCAGCTAACATTAACATCAATTAACTCGTTAATTGTCATATAAATATCGGTGAACCGGTTTTATTATTCACACAAAGAGAAGAAGCGAACGCTCACTAACCCATCATACCTTTCTGTGGATTATTCATTTTTTTTACAGTTCTTAGCTTTGTAGCTTTGCAATGCCTTGTATTTTCTTAATTCTTTTTTTCGTTTTATCGGCCGTCGTTACAGGTAAGCAACCTTCGTGATTCACTTGTTAGCATGGTATTCTCTTGCAATTCAGCTGACTGTTGTTTGGGCGGCGCTAATGGTAACATTTTAGGCTCGTTCCCAAAACTGGAAACCGATTGTAATTCCACGTTGCAGACAGATGCAACAATTTCGGCGGCGTCAAGTCCCCCACAAGGGTTGGTGTTCCGCAATACCGCTCTAACCAAGACCGAATGTGACGTGTACCGGTTGCTCTTCTATCGTGAGGGGCCTTGTAATCCTGTCGAAGATAACCGCAGTTGTGATAGAACCGAACCCGATCCGACGGAAAATCCTATAATGCGGACATACCTTAAGTTACGATGCAGAAAACAGTATTCACAGTCAGAAATATCTGTGACTACACAGCTGGTGTCCCAAATGGTCAACAATCGGGCGGTAACGCTTTCCATATATGAGAAAAACAATACCACTGACCCAGTACATCTGGAGGTTATCGAACCAATTCGTAATAATTTAATTGCTTTAGAGATTCGCGGATGTGCTACCACAAAAGTTACCGGAAAGTTGTACGATGTTGGTTTGCTTGCCAATCTGCTGACGCTAGAAATATACGACGGTGAAAATTTGCAAATGCACAAGAGGGATTTTGGAAGGATGCCGCAGGTGCAGATGATTTCTTTCACGCGCTCCAGCATCGGCACTCTGGAGACGGGGACCTTTATGGATTTACTGAATCTAGAGAGTTTGGTACTGGAAGACGAAATCGCGTACGAATTGCGACGGTATGAACTGTACCCAGACGATGGTGACCTGTTCGCGGATTTTAATCCAGCAGATGTTGAACGAGTGCGGAGGCTACACTGCGATTGTTCCTTTGCCTGGTTCCGAAATTTCCTGAAAGGAAAGCCCCATCTCACGGCGGTGAAAAGGGAAGGGGAGGTATTTGTTGTGGGCAACTATGTATCGCCGACCAGGCTCACCAGCGTCACGTATCGGCCATCGGTTCTCAGTGTAGATTGCTCGCGACCGTTAACGTTCAACAACACGGCTGTTGGTACGGAGTTCTCTTACAACACAACCTGCTATAACCTCAAATGCTAATCCGGTGAACGCAAAACAATAAATCGCCTGGACCGACCGGTCAAGTGATCGCCTTTCCAGACGTTGATTTTACCCAGATGATTGTCGTATTGTGGAGATTCTGAACAGTTAATACCCGCAAATTGTAATACTGCTTCATAAGAAGCCGTATTACCAATTACAATTTTTTAATGGTCTAAAAGTCTGTCCTAGTTCAACTGTATCACTACTTTTCGCTCTTGTTTTAGTGAAATATCATATTGCAGCAAAACGAACGTAAATCGTAAGCCAGTTGTGAATCGTGAATACGGATCGTAAATTGTGAATAGTATAAGTGCGAATGGCTGCACTGTACAAATTTCCTTCAAGCGCAGGGCCAGAGTCCAAGTACTCAGGTTTGAGGTCTTGAAAAAAAAATTTATACAGCAGTCAGTACACACATTTCGATAATTATGTACCTCAAACCAAAATAATCATTAATTTCAGCGACAACTCAAGCGTGATGTGATGACTGCCAGCTGAAAAAAACTTGCTGCGAGTCTGCAAAGTTTATATTAGTAGTACTTCTATTCGCTTTATATTGTACGCAACACGTCCTTCCGTTGCAAGACGTACACCGTACATTAGTATAATCATAATGATCTGAGCTCAACAAATTACTTTATTGCCTTTAATAAAAAAACGTTAAATACAGAATACAATGTCAACAATCAGCACAAAAATCTGGCGTTCAGGGCGTATCACTACTGAAATCAAATTTAGATCAAAATCGTTAGCACGATTCTGTTATCAGAGCGCATGCGGCATTCTGACTTTTATTGCTGTTTGCCATTGCTTTGGGGTTTATAGTGGGTATTGTAGTGTCGTGCTCGTTTTTATGCGGGCACGGCAAAGCGCACGTTGTGATGTGCACGACACATAAAGCAAGATGAGAAACCAGTGGAAAATAGGTCTGCTACTCGTAAGGACTACGATGTTTAACTGGCGCCACTTTCTCACGGCCTAGAATGACTGCACGTATCCATGTGGTAAACCGTAAAAGTTAATACTGTGCAGTGGGCGATATATGTACAATACATATTACTTAGCGGTCCCATAACCCCTTACACCACTGCGTATCGGCACTACTGTACCCAATAAGCTTTCCATACAGCAACACTTTATTGTTTCACTGTCGACATATCGTAAGTAACCACAATTAAAAAGACTGTATGCTACTATTATTTTGATACCGTTTTTAGTGCACAGATTTTTAAAAACTTTTGTCAGAGTTTTTATTATCCTGATCTGCAGAATGGCTGACGGAGCATTACTAAAATCCAGTGTTAGTCTTCGCCCTATTACTTCGGTCTTTAAGTTCCCAGTGGAGCTCTTCGAGAAAACATCACAGCAATCCTCAACGACATATACGGCAACCGTGAAATTCGCAGTGACGGATGCGGAAAAGCATTTCGGTATCCCGACAGTATCTTGGAGAGTGACACTTATGACCAATACCACCCCGAACACCGCCTTCTACAAGATTGTGCCAGCCTGCAGCAAGGAGCTGCTTGTCAGCGAAATGCCGCTGCGTATTGAGTGCTCCGTTAGCGGAACTGGGTTCGTACTTCGTACATAATGCGGTTGACCATACATCGCAACAAAAAGTAATTCATGCTGTACACTATTTTAAGAATATGCATTTGTAATTTTTCAGTGCTCAATACGGGGATGCGTATGAAATAACCATTGATCCGAAAGGGTGGGCAGACGTTATGGTCAATCGAACGGATTTATCCAGTCGTTCTTTGTCGATGCTTTTGCAAAGCATCAGCTATGATTACTACGGAACGGAAAGGTATGTATTGTATGAAGGGAGCGTTATTTACGTGAGAGTAGTGTTCTACCCAGCGAATTCCGATCATGAATTTCTGCCCGCGTACCAGCACCGTCTGGTAACGCGAATCGGTGCCTTACTGGAGAGTGGGAAGGTAGCGGACTGCAAACTGGTCTCCCGGGATGAACAGCAATTTACCGCGCACCGTGCCATATTGGCCGCACAGTCATCGGTGTTTGCTGCCATGTTCGAAAACGAGATGAAAGAGAAGTTGACGGGAGAGTGCGTCCTGAAAGATATCGATGGGCCCGTTCTGCAGGCACTCCTGAAATTTGCCTATTCATGCGCTACGTCGCAGCTTCCGCCTGCAAGTCTCCCGCAACTGTACGACGCTGCGGATAAGTACGATATGGATGACCTGCGAGTGCACTGCGAGAAAAAGATGATCGATGCCATCGACGTGGAGAATGCCATGCACTATCTGGTATTTGCCAAGGAGCGAGGTCTGCAGGATTTGAAATTTACGGCGGCAAAGTTCATCGGGGAGCATGCCAGCGACATCTAATTCATTTAATGTAGTTGATAATAATGGTTTGAAAAGGTACGAGCACACGAGAGCGGCGTAATTTACAAAGAGTGTCGCATCCAAGTGTTTACAGCTGAGAGAAAAAACCTAATAGAAAATGATTCCTAAACATCCGAAATTTGCCGGTTATCATCATAGCTGAAGCGGTAAGACTAGCTTCATTGTAGCGTCTGTAAAACGAAGATAAAATATCTGATTTTAATATCATCTGTCGAGAAGAAATAAAGTGCAGAACAATGGCAGCCGGATCAACTTTCTGGCAGACTAAACTAGAGCTAACGCGTGCATAGGCTGAAAAAACCTCCACGAATACAACAGGATCCACGAATAAATCACGAAACGAAAACAGAAATCTTAGGTATTAACTGAGAAAACATATAAGGGCGTTCAAATGTGCAAGGGTACTGTGTCAACACAGCAGCTATTATTTGTCAATAATTTTATGCAATGCAAGTGAATGGCGGCAGCTGTGTCTTAAGGACTCCGATTTTGGGGTCACCAATTGTCCGATTACTGAAGTGTTCAGCAAGTCAAGTGGTAACACGACGAGTTATAAAAAAATTGTGCACCATTATGCAGATTATTGCGATTCAGCGGTTTAGCACAATCAACGCTCAGCGGCTCCCGCACATATATTGAACGCGCTGGGGGCACCTGGGACGAGAAGTAGTCTCCTAAACGAAATACTTCCCCTTTTACCTTGTCGGCAATAAGAAATGGCTTTTCCTTGAGAAAATTACGAAACCAGGCAACGGAGCAGTCGCAATATAGCCGGCGCACACTCTGAGTCTCCACGTTTTCGTCGCTTAAATCATACCCGAAAAGTGACAACTCGTAGAAAACATCAGCTTCCAGTGCCAAGATCTACAGTTGTGCTATATCGGTGAAAGTGTACGGCTCCATGTCTTCGATAATAACTTCCTTGTAATAAATTATTCGGAGTTGGGGCATGCGCGAAAAGTCATGCTTGCGCATATTAACTGCGGCACATCTTGTGACACCGAAACACAATAAATTCGGAAAAATACCCATATCGTATACCTTGGCCGTGATATTGTTGTTATCACATCCACTAATTTTCAGATCGAGGATCTGATGGCGAATCGGGTTCACAACGTCACAGTGCACCACATTGCTTCCGTCATGCCGTCCTGACTTGAGCGTAACAAGCACAGCGCGATTGGGACTGATGACTCTGACGTTTCGGTTGCTTTCGCCCAGAATAGTGGCTTCTTCCCATCCGCATCCTATACTGAGGTAGGTTTTTTTAAACAAGCTGAAGTATGACGGATCCTCAGTATCTTCACATTCATCAGCGTCGATAAAAGGAGAACACGTTTGTCGGAGGGGTGCATAAGAACTGTTTAGTCGTCCCATTTCAGCGTAGCGTAGACATTCCTTCACCGTTAGCTTGTCAGTGCGAAGGGGAAAGCTAACAGCTGAAAATGAATGGTTTTGAACGGCTTGTGGTCGGGTTGGCGAGTAGCAGTCGGTTTCCCAGTCAGTCTCCCAACCTACCGGTTACAGGCGTAAGTTGCTTGAATTATTCACAAAATTGTTGTAGCAAGTCTTTCTTTTATACTGCACTTGAAGTATACGGATACTTTTTGAATTAAAATTTTTCAATTAAAGATGCTGCACACTCAGTGCAATCGTTTTAAACCACTTTTTAATCATCTAATTTTTGTATAACTAAGAACTACCGTACGATATAGACAGCATATAGTAAACCAATCCAGACAGCTAACGTTTGCTTCAAGAATTGTTCATGTGTTTATGTTCGTCTACTTACATAAATACAAGTCAGGTAAACCGGCAGCTATCAAGGCGAACGAGATCAGGAGTGTCATTTTTTTAGAGTTTACAAATCATTACTTCGAAATTACAGGCAACAGTGTAGGCACGATGTAGGTAAATGTATTGTGTGTCGTACTACAGTGCAGTGAAATGAGAAAAATACTGGACAATCATTTTCCTGGACCATTACATAAACCGAGTATGTATACCGGGAAGCGTGCAACAGCCAACAGTTGGAAAAGAAGGTCCCAGCATTCGAAAGCAAAATTGCAACCGCATGTTAAAAACTTAAAATGCTATCGCACTGAGCAATCTCTTTGATATAATCTTATGCAAAAGTACCACAGTTAACGAATTGCCCTCGTATTTGGCCATATTTCATTACAGAAAATACTCGATGCTAGAAGTGTTATTATTAAAATAATATCTGTACATACATACGCAATCATTGTCAATCATGTTTTCTAGAAGCACACATAACGAAGCGAAACATAGTAAAACCACACGAAAATTCCAGATTTTGCCTTAGCCTCGAAAACGTGCTTATCGAAAACAGAAGATTCCATCCGGTGACCTTTGTATTATCAACATCGATAACTCGTGTTACAAAAGCAAGTGACAAGACCACAATAAAACACTTTTAAAAAATTCTGCTAATCTTTGCACAGAAAATTGCTAGAGCACCACTGCCTATGGCCACCGCCAAAAATCCAGCCCCCGTCGGCGCAAGAGTTAGAGTTCTGCCGTCTTCTTTAGATGTATTTGGACCGCAGTGGCAGGCGTTGGCCGGCACTTCATGATTTCCTGTTGTGTATTTCCGTGTACGGTGTGTCTTAAGCAGGAACAGCGCTTCCTCCATCAGTGTGCCCAATCCACGCTGCTCGGCGAGAGCAAGATACCTGGCTGCCTTCTCGACAGTGAGAGTGCTGGCTAGCAGCCGTTCACAGAACGCACGCAAATCCGCAACATCGTACTTATCCGCCGTAATCAAGATCTTTTCCGCATTATCGCGGTTGACTTTTCCCAATTCGCAACCGTACACGTAATCACACAGGATGTCCACACTTTCCCCATCAATATCATCCAGTTCGCACAGTGCTTGTTTCTTCTCCGTGGAATCGTGCGCCAACATGGCGGCAAAGACCGGCGAATGGGTTGCCAGAATACAACGATGGACAGGGAAGTCTGTGCCTTCGCTAGAACGAATAACAAAATCGGCTGGGTGCAGATCCGGTTCATGGTGCATTTCGGTTAAGCGCCGACAAAACTGCTGCCGATAGATTTCTGGATCCGGTTGCATATTGCATACGCGAAATGTCTCCGATATGAGCGCGAGCCGTACGTTGAAAGAGATAGTCAACGACTCGTCTTCTAACTGGTCGAATAATTCCGCGTGGTTGATAATGCCGTGTCGGCCCCATGAAGCAGCCGCACTCGTATAGTATCCTGCCGGCACTTCACAATGGGGAATGAAAATGATTTGCCGCATAGATCGTCCAGTTAGTTACAGTATACAAGCTAAAAAGAGTCTATTTTGCTGTAGCAATCCTCACAAGTTATGTACATAATAGACCATAGGCTTGGTGTACATAACGAGCTACTCGCATTGTTGGTGGTAGTTGCCGTGCACCAACAGTTCTGTAGTCTGACTCGTTAGGGTCGCTACAGTATTTTGTTCAGGATAAGCTCCTGTAATTACAAATACTAAATCTTCTGTAATTGACCGGGAAATAGTTTTGCCCTGAGCTTACGGGCCGGAGAGCAAAATTAATAATCTGCTCACTAGATTTTAAACTGCGCAAAATAGGCTTCCAACGGCGCAGTTTAAAAACCTGTATGTTTGTCGTCCTTAGCTCTTTCAATGCCGTTCTAAAAACAATGCTGTTACCATTATGTTGCATCCACTAAGAAAACTCACCTTTGTTTTTTTAAACGAAAGTGCTATGCGCCAGGAAAAATCTCGGCGCATAGTCAATTTACTATGCGCCAGGAAATTTTTTCCGCAAAATTAAAATTTGATTGTTTTTTAATTTGTTAAGGTCGTTTTACAATATTTAATCATAACCCATACGTCTTATTACGATTACAGTCCGTTTCTTTACGACTTTCTTTTGTAAAGACGGCTTTTGTAAAGCCGGAGTAAATGGGGAATTGGAAATTTTTTTACATTGCCTGTAAATTTGTCAGCTTTAAGCAATAACAGGCACGCCGTCTTTTTCATCCAGACGGACTCTCTCTGGAACGTTCCTGCGTTTTCGTATTTCTGCTATTTCCTTAGAGGTAACAGTCACTTGGTTCTTTTTCGGCTCGGTTCTGGCATAGTACTAGTTGTTGGTACCTCGTTTCTGGGAGGTTTCTTCAGCGTCTCCGATTGAACAACGTCGTCTAATCGCTCTCGAAATTCACCCTCGTCGACGTAGTTTGCGTTTCGACAGCCGGCTTCTTTGAAAGGATGTGGTCAGTGCAGAATGCTGCTGCATATGCAGATCTGTACTCCGCAATTATTCGATCCGCCGCCTTGTTGCGGGACAGAAAGACATTCAATCCGCATTTCGTCACCCTGACTGCAGAGTATCCAGGTTTGCAACTTGATCCAGTCTGTTGGTTCCCAGCCTAGCGTGTCCAGAATTGAAATTTTCTGTGGCGGGAACCAGCACGCTCTGAGGGTCACGAAATGGTGACCAACGGGATCATACAGAGGCTGGATTCTTACAAAGTGACAGTACTGGGTTATCAATACTGCATTAATACTGCAATTTAAAAGTATAAATTTTAATTTTTGGCGGCGAATTTACTGGCGCATAGAAGTGATCTTTTTTAAATATGTGCATAATCAATGCAGTGCACCGAAAGTTTTGTCATTTAGAAAACGCTAAGAAATACTACTCGTATTATTGCAAATATATTTTTTCCTGGGATGCGGTTAAGTGCAGTGTATGTCCACGAATCTACTTTACATTTCACATATCACGACGTATTTGCACAAATAACTGACCTGATTTCAAATGCTACAAGAAATTGTTGCTGTCCTGTGTACTTCATGGCAGGGAATTCCTTATCAGTCAACGATAAGTAAACAGCCTGAGCGTAGTTTGCCGGGTCTTCATCGTAAAGATCCCCCATGCCTGACCATTTACATGGAATAATCCCCATACGCCAGCGCCCCTCGCAGTTTCCGAAACCCAGCTCTTCCATGGTGATGCCGTCGTTAAACAAGATCTCATAAATACCGCGGTGCAGTGAAAAATCCTCGATAGTCCATCGCATTGTAAACTTTACCTGTTGATGATTACTGTACAGATACTCGTGCACAACGATATTCTTAGATTCTAGCTGCATTGTGATGACTGGAACACAAACGCAAGGCAGATTTCGGAGCTGTTCAGAATGCAACTGAAGAACGCTTGTCAAACTGGGGGTGGTCGATGTTAAACATGGCATTCAAATATGTATTCAGTATGCTCTATGGAATCAGAAGTAGCGCATTAGAATTCCCGATTAAACAAGTTTCAATTTTACACCAATTTCTGTCATGTTAACTGTTAAGTTCCGAGCGCAAACTGCAAACATTCAAAGAATTATATGCCTCTAAGCAGGGCGCAATCCGAGGGAAACAGAGAAACGGCTGAAAAAGGCGCCGATGGGGGAATCGAACCCCGGCTACGTCGTTAGATCCGCGTAGGCAGTACCACTGCACCACGGCGCAATATGTTGAAATCCTTTGAAAGATTTTGTCGCTGTACGTGAGCCGCTTCTCTCCTCACACCCCCTTTGCAGCTTTCGCTACGTCCTCGTAGCGTGATGAAGCGATCCTTCAAGCGGCGGCTCCGGCTCACCGCATCCTCCATTCATTTTATCCTTTTATTCGTTTTTGCTCTGTTCCTCCCGTTCGAGGTTAGCACACCAGTCTCATACCATAGGTCCGTGATCGAACCACGATCTGCTACCATCTAAGCAGGGCGCAATCCGAGGGAAACAGAGAAACGGCTGAAAAAGGCGCCGATGGGGGAATCCAACCCCGGCTACGTCGTTAGATCCGCGTAGGCAGTACCACTGCACCACGGCGCAATACGTTGAAATCCTTTGAAAGATTTTGTCGCTTTACGTGAGCCGCTTCTCTGCTCACATGCCCTTGATACGAGTAGTTTTAGCATCAATGACCTGGAAATAAGCTCCACCGTCCTTGTCAGAATGAATGGGCAAAAAAAGCGGATACGAACCAGTACACATAAGCCGGATATCATTTTAGAATGTCAGTTACTGGCGTAGCCCGTCGCTATGTGATGCGTTCTTAGCAAGCATGTGAAACAGCTATTACAGAAACCAAGAAATGCCGAGCATTTTCCTGGTTTTTGGGAAGGCACCTCCGACCGTATTTGCCAGAGTAGAGTACAGCCCAGCAAATCTGAGCTGCTGTATCAAAATGTTGTTTTCAGCCTTCTTGTGGCAAAGGAATATACTATATTATGTGTTCACAAGAAACAGCCTCGGCTTCGCCTCCGCGTTTCTTGTGGTCCCCAGTCTACGGCTGGGTTATTCAAATGATTTCGATAAGTTATTTAGTTAATAGCTTATTCCTTCAGCGAAACAAAATGGTCTGAAAATAGCGCTAAAACGCAGATAGGATAAAAAGTGAATTTATGGCTTTTCTGCACTCAGACGCATTCACGTTGACTGAGAGGGGATTTTGTTAACTTTTCCATCCCGACTCTGAGTCTACCAGGTACTAAATTTCAACCTAAGGAATGCTTGCAATGGATGCTGGTGGTAGTTGGGTCACTCAACCACCTAGCGGGCTACGTGTGCTGGACAGTAATGGTACTTTGGTTAACTGTTTACCTAACGGGATGTGTGCCCTGGACAGTAACGATGCTTCGGTCACTCGTTCACTTAGCGGGCTGTGTGCTCTGGGCAGTAGCGGTACTTCGGTCACTCGTTCACCTAACGGGCTGTGTGCTCTGTACAGTAACGATACTTCGGTCACTCGCTCACTTAGCGGGCTGTGTGCTCTGGGGCAGGGGATAAAAGGTGACACCTGCCACTGGCAATTGCCACTGGCAATGGCAGCATAGTGGCAAGCGATAAAAAGTGGCAGCTGCCACAATACCGAAATCCGTCGCAGGCGAATTTGGTCGCGTTCGATCACTTCGACCGTGTTAAATTTCGGCCACACGCAGTTATGTCGACCGGTGCTCACTCTGACCAGCACAAAATTTGGTGTCACAAAATTAAAGCGTTGTAACGCTTTGTGGGAAGTGCAAAAAGCTTGCAATATTTGGCTCATCCGATTCTTCGACTTTTTCCTTTTTCGATTATGCATATGCTATACAATGTCCGAATGTCGTAAAGCAATATGCTATATGCTATATGCTATACAATGTCGTCTTGCGTCCGAGATGCAGTCACTTTGGGCAACGCTCTTTTCGGCTCATGCTCTAGCTCAATTCGGGTACTGCTTATTTCGGCTTCTATAAATTTGTCACACGACTCGCGTTAACAAATTTTCTGGGTTTATTGTGCCACAACGTTCTCAATTGTCTTTTAAGTTGTCTTAAGACACCTGAGGAAACATTCGTTTTTCATAAGTTTTTTTAGATTTATTAGGTAGTTTAGGTTTTATTCCTAGGTTTCTGAGATTTCTTAGGTTTCTTACGTTTTTCTTAGCTTTTCTTAGTGTTTCTTAGGTCTTCAAATTTTTTCTTTTTTTTTGTTCAAAGGTTTTGGTTCAAAGTTTTTGAGAGTTCTAATTTAGCGTAAATTTTCAGGTTTCTTAGGGAGCTTTGGTTAGTCAGATCGATACTCGGTCGGCAGAGGAAGGCGGTTTGCGGTGAGGTTAGTGTCAACGGGAATGCCAATCATGCTGCTATGCATGAGTTGAGATAAGCCTGATGAACATTAATTGTAAATAGGATTTGTAAACTTGAATTCTAGAGACGTTTTTGAAGATCTGCATTATCGAATTTTATTTAAAAGAGAATTTATTTTAAATGTAGGCAAAATGGATGGAAGGCGAGTGTGTTAAGAGAAATGTTATGTGACGTGTAAAGTGAACAGAGGCCTAAAACTTTGGGCCGCATTTAGCGAAGCCGAAATGCACTACACCACACTCTGTGGTCTGTGGCTCTGCGGACGGATAGAGTAAACGATCGAAGCAGTCGATCGAGGTAGTCCGATACTATTACCACTAGTGGTAAGGCTTCTGGTGACTTTGACGGCTCGGACTGGCCAAGCTGCCATACAGCTTCATAACTGTTTCGAAGACAATCACGTTTCAGTAATTTCTGCATGTATATTTGTGCC